ATACATAATATGAGAAAACAATATACTTGTCTCAAGTAGGTAAATCCATTTACTTTAAATTAAAAAACGAAGAATAATAAAAATGTTTTAAATAACATAATATGTTATTTATATGCATTTGATAAATCTATATAAAAATCAAAAATCACTACATACCCACATACCTACATATGTAGTGATTTTTGCATCAATCACAGATATATCTATTTAAAACATTTAAAACATTTTCATTATTCTTCGTTTTTAATTTTAAAGTAAATAGATTTACCTACTTAAAACTAGTCTATTGCTTTCTCTAATCCCACGCTTAAAAACATCGTTGGCAAATTTTGAATCTAGATCATATTTTACGACTTCTTAAGAAATAAATATTTTCTGTATGTAGGTAAATATGTATAATGTCGCCCCTCTTGAGCTTTTTTATTTTTAACTGTCCCAAAAAATTTAAGTGTGGTTATGTAGGTACTAAAAAATACTTTTTTTCTTCTTATACAAAAAATTGAAAAAAATGATCAGTATACATTTATGCGACGATATTTATCCTGATATACCTATATCAATATTTTTTTTCTAAAATTCTATTCACCAGTAAGTAAAGCAACAGAAACATTTAGAAAATCCCTCTACAAATGAAAATGAAGATTCAGATTCGGATCTGGATCTACCATTAGCCAAATTAAAAATATTATTTTAGTTGTTGATTTCTATTGGCTGTTGTAGTTTTTCAATTTTTTGTTTTTTAGTTGCAAAAGGAAAAATATATGATGTGTTTATATTTATAAACTTGTATTTTTAACCTACAGTTTACATTTATATCTGTAATTCTCTAAGCAGAAAATAGTTACCTATAATAAAAAAAGAAATAAATATTTAAATTTTGATATATGTATATCAGATATAGGTATATCAGATATTTTGATATTTTTATAAATATCATGATATTTGCCAGCCCTGCCATATACCTATATTCAACCGTTTCTGAAATATTCGCATTTGAAACGTCATTAAATATTTGTTTAAACTGTTAAAAAGCGAAATCGAATGACAAAATGTTTATTGAAAATAAGTAACTATAGTGACATTATGTCAATATGCCCTGTTAAGTAAGTAAAAATGGCGTAATCAGACTGAGAAAGACAAACTATTTTAACTTATTATCTTCAAAATAATTTAAATATTTCAGAAACGGTTGCTTTAGAATATGGTATGTTATATAAATTATGCTTAGAATTTTACATGGAATCGAAAAATAAATTTATATATAGGGGGATCCATTGAGAAAAAATAAACTTTTTTGTTTTTCCCCTGTCGGTATACTGATCAATTTTCCAATTTTTTTATACGTAGTAAATAAGTATTTTTTACTACCTACATAACCACACTTTTCAATTTTTTTTAATAAAAAAGTTAAAGGGGGGCGACATTATAGGGGAGCATCCTGTAGGTACCTATAACACAGTGCAACAGCAAAAAAAATGATGGGGTTCTGAAAGTGGTTTTCGTTTCTCCTATCCAAAGAATGCCTTTTTGCGTTTACAGAATGTTTAGATTGATTCAGATTTTTTTTTTAATATCGATTTTAAGTTTTATTAATTTTGGAACCCGAAAAACCATTATTTATTAATTTAAACCAAAACAAAAAAAAAATGATGGGGTTCTGAAAGTGGTTTTCGTTTCTCCTGTCCAAAGAATGCCTTTTTACGTTTACAGAATGTTTAGTTTGATTCAGATTTTTTTTTTAAATCGATTTTAAGTTTTATTATTTTTGAAACCCGAAAAAACCGTTATTTATTAATTTAAACAAAAAAAAAAGATGGGGTTCTGAAAGTGGATTTCGTTTCTCATATCCAAAGAATGCCTTTTTGCGTTTACAGAATGTTTAGATTGATTCAGGTTTTTTTTAATATCGATTTTAGGTTTTATTAATTTTGGAACCCGAAAAACCGTTATTTATTAATTTAAACCAAAACAAAAAAAATTATGGGGTTCTGAAAGTGGTTTTCGTTTCTCCTATCCAAAGAATGCCTTTTTGCGTTTACAGAATGTTTAGATTGATTCAGGTTTTTTTAAATATCGATTTTAAGTTTTATTAATTTTGGAACCCGAAAAAACCGTTTTTTTATTAATTTAAACCAATTAACTGGTAAGAAAATTGTTGTCATAACAATAAATTAAAAAGAAATAATAAAAAATAAAACAAAAATTAAAAATGGGTGTAAACATGTCACTAAAAGTACATTTGCTCCATGCACATCTTGACCTGTTCGAAAATCAGCTGTCCACCGAATCAGAAGAGCATCAAACAATACTGAAAATGGAAAATCGTTATACAGGAAAGAGGTTTGATTCGACGGTTTTTTTGGTTTTTGGCAATGGAAATTTTGGCATAAAATTATAAATAAAGTTTGTTAGGTATATCTTTTATGTTGATTCATTCTTTTTGTTAAAAAGAATATGTTTTTAATAATTAATGTAATAATAATAATAATTACCATAATTATTATTATGTTAGAAGCGAAAAAACTAAGAATTGCACTAATAGTATATTACACTACAAGGGCAGAAAGTGTGAGATTCCTGCACTGCGCGCCATGATGCCCGAGGCGAAGCCGAGGGCATCATGGCGCGCAGTTCAGGACTCTCACACTTTCTGCCCGTGTAGTGTATACTATTTTTCTTACTACCCTGCAGAAAATACGGAAAAAAATTAAATGTATATAAAAAAAATTTGTGTCAAAATTAAAATCTGACGTTTAATTTAATTCTGACGTTTACATTCAAAATCAATCAAACTGTAGCGTTGTCATGGTAATTCAGCGGTGCCAATACAGTAAAAATAAAAGGTTGTATTTTAATTAACAAATTACTACTTTATAACAAATAAAAGTACCATTAAACACTTAAAACAACATAAAAAGTAAAAAAGTAAAAACATAAATTGTTTATTTGTTGTTATAATTGCAAAATTATGGTTTAAAACTGTCATATTTTTGTGTTTCTCATGTTGGCAGTACGAAATTTAAATGTTAAGCACGCGACTAAAAATTTTTTACTCCCGCTATTAGAGTGTGCGCGTATAGCTTGACCAATGCAAGAAACGTAAACTTTCTGCCGTGAAATCGGGGACGAAACAACGTATTTTGAGTCGAGGTAGTAAGAAAAACATATTAAATCCAAAAGAAGGTTCAAATTTTTAAAAAATTGCATTTTAATGTTCTCATTATTTTTTTATTTAATTATTTTTTTCTTTATTTGATTGTTATTACTTTATAAAACAATATACAATACCAATAATTATCTTTTATGTACTAATTATTTATTATTTGACGATATTTCGGGATCCAGAATTACTAAAACTTTAAATTGATATTAAAAAAAACCAGAATCAATCTAAACATTCTGTAAACGCTATAATTCATGATTTTGATTGTAGAAACCGAAAATACAGAACCCCATCATCTTAATTTTTTTCCGAAAATGATGCAGTGTAATATCATTACTAATATGACAAAGAATTACTTAGTATTTAAAATTCTTTTTTTGCGAGGATTGTTAGGGATGGTAGTACCAAACCAATTCTATAAAATGTTATAGTTTTTTTTTTAATTACTTTTGAAAAAAATATTAATTTCAAGTTAAAGTAAAAGTTTTCTTTACAATTTACCGAGGTTAACAAATTACTTAGGTAAACAAATTAAATAATAAAAAAGCTATAGAAGTGGTTTCAGTGTAGTATCATAAAAAAGTTAAAAAAAAAAACAATAAAAAAGTTTAAAAAGCCTATGTTACTCTTCCGCCTTTATATTATCTCTACGCAAAAAATCACGTCGATCCATTGCTCCGTTCCTGCCAGTAAGTCAAACAAACAAAGAAATAAACACAAAGTTTCGCAAATATATGTCAGGATTATCTACCTTGAAATAATGAAAAGTTTGAAAAATACAATTGGAATACATATATTGTTTTAACAATGTAGGTACATTAAATTATAATTTATAAAAGAAACATTTTAACCTATTTTAATAAGTAATTATAATTATAAAGTCATTTGTATTTTCAGAAATAATAATCAGAAGTAACAGAATTAACAGACATTGAAACTTGAATCTAAATTGTTGACAAACTAAACATACTTAAGGTAGTTTAAATAAATTTGGTTGGAAACAAATAAAATTGCAAATTGTCCAATTTAACATACTTAATTTAACAGTAAAAATAATGTTTTAATTAACAACAAATATCAGATGTTATCCATTTAATAGGTTTTGGTTTAATTTACGGATTGTATTGTAATTTTCATCCCATCACTGCAGTCAACTATTAAGTTTATAACAATTATTGTAAAGTTCAAAAGACTTGCTAAAGTTGATTTCGTTGGATCCCACATTTCTAACCAAGTTAAGTCTTAACTGAAAACCTACATTAACGTTAAGCAATTTTATGACATTACGACAAAATGCTTATAGAAAATTGAATTATTGTGACTGCATTGGGTACCCATTTACATATTACATTGATACCAAAATCAAAATTAAAACTTTCCAAGATCGATATCAAAAAGGTAACCATAAAAAGTGCCTGTTTTACAGTCCTCGTTGATGACATGGCCGATAAAAAAAAAACAGTTTATGGATATTTAAAAATTCAATCGAGTTCATTTGAAATGTAGATTTTAAAAAAGCTGTGATAGTTTGCTTGGTGAACTTTTTGAACTTGAAAGGTACAAAGATAACAATTGGATGCGATTAATAATTCATAACTCAACGGGGGTCACGTGACAGGCACGCATATCCTTTTTGGTACAGTTTCGAACGTTCGTTCGTAGCAAAAACAATCGATCGCGGGACGATTTTGTTTTCATCTTTTTTGTAATCCACTACATTTTGGCGCTAAATTTTAAATAAAAGATGCTTCTCAAATATTTTTAATATAGTTAAAAGGTCCTTTTCTTTAATACTAGTTAATTAAGGATTGTAATTTTTGTCCTTTTTTTGTGAAAGGTTAAGAAGAAGAATAGAGTCGTATCGTCGGCGACAAAACGACTGCATGCCTCGTTTCGATCAGTCCTTCACGGGACTGTGTGAACAAAATCTGCAGGACACGCTGCAACTGAAACAGCGCTACTTGGACACGAAGCCTAAGAGAGCGCCCAAGACAAAGGACAAAAAGCAACAGGATTCCATACAGAGCAGTGTCCACGTGGTAAGTCAAAAGATACCATTAAAAGTTTTCATCAAGTAATTTTTATATGACATGGTTTATTTTATTATTATTGTTGATATTTTGTTGAAGAACCTAATTTTTTCATGTTAAAATTATCAAGGCAGTTTGATTTGACATTCTTAAAAGTCCAGTTTGTGTTAACATTTTAAAATACTTATTTCTACAGTTCATTTTTTTATCTGGACTCGTGTTTTTTTTGTTAGGTTGGTGGCTTATGCCAGTTTGACTGTATTTTTAGTATTTAAAAATGGTACTTCTGCTAAAGAATTTAATTAAATACTTTGACACTGTTAAATTTACAATAATATTTATTATTGATAATTTACTTGTCAATTATTAATTGCATTTTTAACTACGAATTTCGACAACTCAACTTGACAACTGCACAATGTAACCTACAACAATTTATACATAACCACTATTAGATTTATACTATGGTTAGTTTGTTTTAATCAATGCGACCAACTTGACAACTGTATTTACCAACCAAAACCCTAAATTTGCAACGTTGCCGCAGTCCAGATAAAAAAAATGAACTTTAGTTGCTATTCTTATTCTATTTATATTTGAATGGTGTTATGCAACAGGGAACCAACCCTCACTTTTGCCAAACTGAGATAATAGCGTCGGAAAATTTATGTGGTTCCTTTATTACTTTGTTAATTATGGGTTAAAAGTTTTAATTTTATTTTACAAAATTATTTCTTTATATTTGATTGTTGGTTGGTTTTATGGTGATTATTGCCTATATAGAGTTGGTGCAACCATGCAGCTTGAAGATTTGTTGAGATTTAGAAAGTGTTTGCAGAGTTCTGTATTATTTTGATTATTTAAATTTAGTATCTTTTCGCATTTTTTATTGCTTGAAGATATTTTCAAAAGGTGGTTCCCATTAATAAATTTATCCGCCTATTTTTTTTATTTTGAGAGTTGGTTCCCTGTTGCTTAACACCATTTATTTCTCATTGCTAGGAATATTTATATCTAGTTCAGTATTTGAAGTATCATTGTTGGTAAAAATTACAAATTTAGTTAATTTTGTGCTAAAGAGTTTTTTTATTTAAAAATGTAAAAAATCCTGTTTTTATTATGATTTTTTTTCTTGACTAAATTGTATATTTTCCTAATAAATATTGCATGTAACTTAACTTAAATATACTTAATAGATTAATTAAAAATCAAACGTAAAAACTTTTTTCTTCATACCTTGTTCGAAAGTACTTACTTTCGTCCCTAATAGCAAGGATGAAAGGTTAACATTTACTCCCTGTGCTATTAGGGACGAAAGTACGTACTTTCGACCGAGATAAACTTTCGTCCCTGCTATTAGGGACGAAAGTACAGTAGAAACCACGAATATATGAACGTGACTCATCCGACACATTCGTACGAAGCAATCTATCGAAGGTCACGGTCCAGTGCAGTCCCGTTTGTAAAAAAAAATGAGTGTAATGTTGGTTGCTATACTTATGATATATTTGCTTTTAAAGTTAAATAATTAACATCTAACATAATTAACATCTACGATAATTAAATAAAATGTAATTTTCTTAGAAACTAATTAATAAATAAACTTTTCTTTTAACTTTAATGAAATATTCTATCATCTGATGACAGAACGTACACTCGTGGCGACATCTCTGATTTTAATAACAAATTTTTAGACCGATCCAACCTCACTTTCTTCCAATTAAATTCTTAGTATAGTCTGAAACACGTTTGGAATTGCATATTCCCCTCTCGTGAAACCGTCAAACTTGTTACAGAATATACCATTCTTTTAACTGTAAACGCAAATATTTCAGAATTGGTGACAAAAAACAAAAATGTTTACGCAGGTCAGTTACAAAGTGAAAGATATTTTATCTATTTTGGTTTCATAATGACTTCATTATAACACCGCTTTCGGTTCTTTAATGAGGTACTTTATTCCACCCAAAATTTTGATTTTATAGGTTGGCTACTGGTAAAATACAATTTTGAATACCTATAGGTTATAATATTTTTATGATTTGTTTTCTAGTACTTACGAGACTTTTCGTGCAATAAATTTTGTTTAACACCAAAGAAAATCCTTTTTTTTCTTTAACAGCCGCTTATTGTAAATACTTATTGTAAATTAACGACGCCATAGCGAAAGAATGTGATAATGTTTGAAAGGTTAATGACCTTTCAAACTTCAAAATGTGATACCAACTATGTAAAGTAAAATTCCACCAAATTAAATATAAGGTATAAAATTAATTTGTTTTATGAAATGTTTGCAAAATAGATAAAATAGCATAAAGAACTCATGTCATAAGACCTTTTGTCGCACTTGTCCATTATAAAACTCGCTCCTTTGTCGCTCGTTTTATAAATTGTCCGCGTGCGACAAAATGACGTCTTATGACATTAGTTCTTTAATATACTATAAATTGTGTGGATATAAAAACAACTTGCGTTAGTTTCACGAAATTTATTAAATATTGACAATTGTTTCGCTACACAGTAGCTTCTTTAGAATATATTAAACTAATACTAGTACAAAATTTATATAATAAAAATATTTTTGTATTCTAGCCTAAAATTTCTAGGTAAGGATTTTTATACGACATCTACCTGTGTTACATAATATAAACCACTGCCACTACAACGTTTAAAACGATTATTAATCCGTAAACACACAGTAGAAACACGATATGCAAAAACAAAGATCATATAACATATAAAAACAAATGGCCGACGGTAAAGTTGGTTGCCTTACTATGTAATAAAATAAAATAAATGCCTAAAACACGAACTCTACTGAATATAAGTAACAAGCTAGGACACGCGTCATATGTCCATCTTTGTCCAACACCTAGGCAGTTTTACATCACAGATGGCGCATTTTAGACCGGATGCTTAAAAACCTACGTGTGAGTACATTTACCGCTGCATCGAATGTACAAGACAAGTAAAACATTACTGCTAGCATGTCTGAGATATGTTCGGCACCCGATGAGTCACGTTCATATATTAGTGGTTTCTACTGTAAGTACTTTCGATCGATGTATGAAGAAAAATAGTATACACCACACGGGCCAAACGTTGAAATCTCGGGCATTATGACGCGCAGGGCCGAAAATTCAACTTTCGGCCCTTGTAGTGTAATATACTATAGGTACCCATGTTTAATAAGCTGACACTGTTGATACCTGCTCTATAAATGTATGTTTACAAATGTATTTTTTGACAGTTTGTGCCAAAAGTTTAAATCATTAGACAAAAAAAGAGGGTGGGCGCGTAATCGGAACGTTAAAAAGTTGAGAAACCAAACTGTCAACAGTTTTAACATAATTTAATTATAAATGAGATCATTCTGAATAAAAGACCATATATTTTTTTATTTAGGAACTGGTTTATAGGATAACTGTTATATTTTTGTGTTCCTTATCCATTTTTAATAAGTGCTAAAAATTGTTTTTTGAGATTTTCATGAAAAATATACTGTGATAATCAATATTTAAGCCATTAACATGATCCTCCTTGGTTGCTCGAGTTTTAAAACGAAAAATAAAAAAATTGCGCATGATAACAAAATTTTACATTTAAGGTACCTAACATAAAAAATTATTTTCTTGGAATCTGTGCTGTAAAAAATCTGATATTATTTGTGAATGTGTCTGATGCCTCTCAAAATCATATATTAAATTTTGAAGATATTTTTTGTAAATTCTTCACATGGAGATAGGGTTGGGACAGTTGAAATTTTCAAATGAAAATTTTAACTTTGAAAGTTTCAAACTTGAAATATTTCATTTAGTTGGAAATTTTCAATCCGAAAATTTCAACATTGCCTGTGAAAGTTTCAGAAATTTCATTGAAAGTTTCGTAATTTACTTAAAATTTCGCATAAATTTCACATGCGGCCTCCCCTGGGACCTTTAATAATAATTTACAACAGAATCCGAATCGACCAATAAGAACAAGTTATCAAGCGTCTGGGCGTTTTTGTTTAGTTCGGCTTGGATTTGAATACACTATAAGTAATTATTGTTACTTATATGCATAAATTAATTTAAATAATTTAATTCAGTTACCAATTTAATTTGTAAATTAAATCAGACTTTCATTTTTTTTTAAAAGTCATGATTAATTTAAACTTATACTTTTGCTATAATTGCATCGGGAAACGGATAAAAAATGCCTTAGGCTCATAAAATTTTGATGAAGTTTCTTCAATTTTCGTAAAATTTCAGTAAAATATTTAAAAATAATAAATATATATAAATATAAAACAATGAAAGTGGCACAATCTCATTAGCTTACCAAAAAGTGCTATATCTCTTTTAGTTTTAGTAATTTTAAAAATATTTTAAAAGAAAATCTCAAGAAATTTGTGGTAAACATAGGTATTTACTATTTATATTATTGTTGGAAGGGCCCACAGAGGGGTAGGAGGTAAGAGAGGCAATTTGCCATGTTCCCCGAGTGGGCTTATTTCAATATTAATATATTACACTTAAAGTGATTGAAATTTATTGAAAGTTTCAATAAATTTCATAAATTTCAGAAATTTAGGAAATTTTAATAAATTTTATAAATGTCCTAAAAATTTCAAGTGAAATTTCAAGTTCAAGCAAAAAGTGAAATTTTCCCAACCCTACATGGAGAATCTCAATAATATAACACAGTACAACACGATTTCCCTCCCATGAAAAATTTTAGCAGATTTTGAAAATAGAGGTAAAAAAAACGTACCCGTGTCTCACAGTTTCACGAGATCACGTCATAAAAAAATTTTAAGCCGTCATTCCTATTATTTATGCTTATACAGATTGTACATTTTTTACTCAGTTAAAAATATATTTTTTTGTAAATATTGTATGTTTTTACACAATACAAAAAACAAATATAAAAAAAGTTTATATTTTGATTTTTTTTTTATAAATTTTTTTTTAATGAAACACATTTTTGTATTTATCTTATATTCAATACATGTTGGAATAAAATCT